TTTCTCCTTCATCAGGTGCATATTATTAAATGCTATGAGGCAGAGAACATATATTTGTACCTGTAAGAACAACAAAAGTAAAAAGATAGCAAAGAAGGGAACGCAACAAGGGAAGCCAACAGATAACTGGCATGGCGCTGATAACCCCGCCTCCCGTTTGCCCATTGTCCATTTCCCATCACTCACAGTGTGGGTTCAAATCCCGGACGGGACTCAACCCAAGAAAGTACGAGAATCTGTACTTTACTCAGAAAGTGTTATCCCAATTATAACATTTGTTGTCAAGAAAACACAATAAATGTATATTCGGCTTTGGATGGGTAATGATATCACAGACATATACGGATATTGATGATGACTTGGAGGAGCTTCGTAAAGCACGTCTTCTCAATTCAGGGATTGGTAAATCCAAATATATGTGTGCGCGTGCGTGCGTACGTAGTAGCGAGTAGCTTTTTTGGAATGAGATGAATAAGTCTTATAAAGTTGTAAGCTTCTTCACAACCGTGTAACTATGAATTGACTTTATTGGGTAATCAAAAAAGAGATAGGACCTAAAATAGCCAAATTTCATACGATTTCACTTGTCCACCATCTTGGATGCAAGGCGAAAACATTTCAGCGCGTTTGAAGCCACTGAGAATGCCCCCTGCAGAGGTGGATGAACATTCTGCGGTGGCGCGGCCGAGTTGACCAGAGGCTAACAGCAGTATTTCCTGTCCAGGTTATTTAGGTCAGTTGTTTGTGTGTGTGTGTGTGTGTGTGTGTGTGTGTGTGTGTGTGTGTGTGTGTGTGTGTGTGTGTGTGTGTGTGTGTGTGTGTGTGTGTGTGTGTGCGTGCGTGTGTGTGCGTGCGTGCGTGAGTGTGGGGGGTGGGGGCGGGGGGGGGGGGGGGGGGTGAGATTGGGGGGATAGATAATAGATTTAGCAACAAGTATGGTCATCTTGAGATTAGCATATGAACTATGATTCTCTTTAGGCAGAAAATGAGGATCCACGATGTTCGACCTGGTAGAAGTGTGTTATCAAACCTCACAGCATTGGTTTTTTGACTGACTGTAGCGTCAAAACAAACTCATTCATTTACTTGAACTGAATGTTCATCTTAATTGTTATGGATAGTCACGGAGCCATGATCCAGAGAACAGGGTGTCATTAGATAGAAATAAACTAAGTAATAATAGGATTACCCGAACAACGGGGTTTTACACACAAGCCAATAAACTTCGCTCATTAACACCAGAGTAAGTCAGTACAAGATTGAAAACTGCCCCATAATTATGTATGACATGCTTGTTGGGTATTGCTACATATATATGTGAAAACAAAGTTATTAAAATGAAGAGCAAAACTGATGAAAGTTAACAATAAACGTGTATACGTGTTATATCGTCACTGCAAAAATAATGATTGTTTGTCTTTAGTATTAACATTCAAATACGTTATATCTGTATTAGCGATATTGTCTTTGTTCCACCGGTGAGTCAGCGTTAGCCGTAATATCTCGTAGTATAATTGAATTTCTGAAGACATCACGATACAGTTTTTACGATGCATCACGTCTGCACTAGCGCTTGATAACAGCCTTGTGTTTGGGTGTTTCAGTGGTTTAAATCGCTGCTCTTGATATTGTTGATTAAACTTTGATACAATGAACAATATAATGTTATGTGAGAGGTTGACTTTAGAACGGTAACATACTTATAGTATATAGGATGACATAAACAGAACAATGAGAAGTTCGTCCAGATTAGTGTATAGGCAACATTTAATAATTAAAATAATTACATTCAACAACTCCCCTTTTAAGTCCATTTTCCTGACTTATAAGTAAATGCAAGAACAATCGGCCGGAATACAATGTATAGTTCTTGTCCACTTCCATATGACTATATAGCATACAATAAGCTATCGGGTCCCGTTTAGATCGGTTTGGGTGGCAGCCTAGATAGCCATAGAATAGTTTCATCTTGGAATCTCCCATATCACTGGGGATCCTCTTCAATTTAAATGGAGTTACTCGTTACGATTCCGAACCTTCACGTGACTGTGTTTATGAACCATTGTCAAAGAGTGGTGACATTAAATCTAGGAAACAATACGCGAAATCGCGCATGCACAGAACGGAAAATTTGGTCACGGCATTAAGTAATCCGCATGCGCAGAACGATTGATTTCAGTACTTCCGCTAAGCGCTTCGAGTGCAGCGTCAAACGCGGACCTGTAATCTAACACGCGGGGACTGACCAATGGAATCTGAGAAGTAGAAATACCGGTAGACGCAGTTGCTTGATTGACAATGTCAATCAAGAAAGGGAGGAGCTTAACGCTATCGTTCTCTCCCAGTAAATTCCGATGTCAAATAACGACGTTATTTGGACGGAAAAACGATGGTTTGAAAACGTCCAAATAACGTCGTTTTTCCGTCCAATGACCATATACGGAAAAAAACCGACGTTTTCGTGTTTGCAGTGTATAAGTGCATTCAGTGGTTGCAATCCTCAGTAGCAAATGTCGTGTGCTCTCTGATAATGATGTGCAACCATTCTGTCACGATACATCCAAACACAGGTTTTGAAGTATCTCTTGCGAAAACGTACCCATGCCTCTGTCCGCCCATCATGAAATTGTTGTCCTAGAGGGGTAACCCAATCTGTGTGTATCGAGATATTTCAACCTCTATTTGATGAGTGATTTATTTTATATCATCATAATTGGAAAACAGTCTGTGACAAAACCACGAGACCGTACTACTGATTAAAATCTCCCCTTGACTGATATGGAAAATGTATTAGTGAAAAGAGCGACAGGTTGTAAGTGCGGCTACATGCGTTGTTTGATGTGCAAAGAGTCGATGAACAAAGGACGTTCAGAGATAGTTCATGCTATTGAAACCATTCAGATATTGTTGAAGTCTGAAGAATTTCAACGATTCTTCATTTTTCAAATCAAATCGTATAATTAACTGAAATTCGCTCCGACGGCAATTTAAGGATAGTTCTCGCTTCACAACTAATGTTACAAACTTCACACTGGCGCAACTTCAAACAGGCTATTAACCTATTTCGATCAAGTGTCACCATCGGACTCGAAGCCACCTTGTGAATTTTACAAGAAATGTAAAATAGACCTCTGTCCCTTGGACAGAGTGTGTGTGTCGAGCAGACACAGTCACATAGAAATATAGAGTCTAAAACAAACACGAACATGAGACAACATGGAGTATCAAACAGTGTTAACCTATGAAGTTTTTAAACACACAACATGTTTTCAATTATTTTTTTCATGCTATCATGACATTGTGAATGTACATAGCTTGGTTTGCCTCTTTTTATCTTTCAGAATGTTTTTTTTTATTAAACAATTAATTATATATGGATTAATTAAAAAGGTTATTTGAATGCGGATATTCCACAGTCGTGGGCTGGATTACACACACTGTATATAATGGTATAAGGAAATATGATATAAACTCAACGCCGGAGAATAACCAGTCTCGATTATCAAAAAGAAACATTCCATTGGGCGTTAACGACAAAATAGCGGTGAACATTATATGAATGGACCAACATCGCTGCATATAGTCTTCAGCATCCCATACCTGTCGTAAAATTCGACTATGCTTGTCGTAAGAGGCGACTAACGGGATCGGGTGGTCAGGCTCGCTGCCTTGGTTGATGCATGTCATCGATCCCAATTGCGTGGATCGATGCTCATGATATCAATCACTGGATTGGCTGGTCCAGACTCCATTATTTACAGACCGAGGTCATATAGCTGGAATATTGCTGAGTGCGGCGTTAAACAACCAACCAAACCAACCAAGCATATAGATGAGTGAGTGAGTGAGTTTGGTTTTACGCCGCTTTTAGCAATATTCCAGCAATATCACGGCGGGGGACACCAGAAATGGGCTTCACACATTGTACCCATGTCGGGAATCGAACCCGGGTCTTCGGCGTGACGAGCGAACGCTTTAACCACTAGGCTATCCGACCGCCCCCATATAGATGAGGTGGGGTACAGGTCTGGTGAGGTGAATTTGAGTTTATTGTCGCGTTCAAGATTATTGCACTTATATAGCGACGTGTATACACGCATGTGTGGCTGTTTGTACTAGCCCGGACCAATGTCTGTCTATAGAGCTGGTCCACTGAGACACCATGCCACAGGTAAATGTGGATAGCCCACTCGGGCACTGTATACTGACTCCGAACCGACAAGTCCTTGTTTCACCCCTATATGCCTTGCGTCAGGCATGGTAACAAATACTACATTTTAACGTATTTCGGTATGACGCGACCGGTGTATTTTATAGCTTAACGTACAAGTAACTCTCGTCTGTCTTACAGACCATGATACAAATATATCAAATACAGCCCATGCAAGTCTATAATATATGGCAAGTCTAGATTACTGCAGTATTTGAAAAGGAAGAGTCTCTGGGCTCCTTTTTATTAATTTTTCATTAAGATAATTTCACAACTATTTTTTTTCTGTGTGATATGTCCATTTCAGGGACTAGATGTTAGTCTCAAGTAACTCTTTAACCCATGGTATTGAGACTGTTATAACTGTTCGTGTTCATGTGCTCCATGTGAATTATATGTGCTTGGTTAGCCAAGTATTACATATTGATTGATATCAACTTGCACTGATAAATGAAATGGATCTTTTTTCATCTCATTTGGCACGTGGGTGCGTCATGATTCAAGTTCCGATTTTCAGCTTAAGTTGTAGATAATAATTATCAAATGTCTTCAAGAAACGGTAATCTGAATATAACATCAATTTTAACAAGCTATGATATGTGCAAACAAATTCCAAATCAGGGCTTCATAAATGGAGATAGATTTCTACGATCGTACAGAGCTATATATACTATGAAACTGTATATCTATCTCCCTTGCATACACCATCTCACATAACCACCATGCATTGAAATCAGAAATCCGAGGAGTAGGTGGTAGCTGTCATCTACATACCGATCATGATAAATATCCAAAAGAGACGTGAATAGCCTGCGCTGTGTACATATAAAAGCTGAAAATTCAGTTGTTTTTTAGTCTCTCCAGATGAATGAATGACGTGTAGATAGGGTTAGCTGTGATGTTACCCCGGCTTGTGAGAGTGATGCAGACGAGACATGTGGCAGGAGCGTTGCTGGCAGTCTCTTTGACCGCGATCTTCGGTTGTTTTCACTTGCTGAGTGAAGTGGCTCGTCTCGATGATGCAAGGGTCAGATTAGGTGAGTGAACGTTAACACAGAAAGAAAAAAAAGAAAGAAAAAATTCTATTACCATCTGTGCCAAGCACACATACGCGTATTGTATATCCAACATTGCTTTTAACTTTGACTGACAAACCATACGATATTTCCATGCTGGGTTTAGTATCACCTTTCTTTCAATGTTCCACAAGTTCTTTGATTATTGTCCGCCCGGAGAGCGGAAGGTCCGGGGTTCGATCCCCGGTCGCGTCATACCAAAAGACATTAAAATATGGTACTTGTCGTTACCCTGTCTGGCGCTCGGCATTAAGGGGCTAAAACAAGGACTGGTCGGCTCGGAGTCAGTATATTATGTCTGAGTGGGGTGTTCATGTTAAACTGCAACATGGTATTTCTGTGTGCTAGCACTATAAATAGGCATCAGTCCGGACTAGTACAAGAGCCACACATTCACACGTGCATGCACGTCGCTACATAAGAGCAATAATCTTGGACGAGACGTTAAACCCCATTTCATCTCACCTCACCTTTGATTATTATCAAGTTTCTAGTGTATATAATTGAACTAACTAGGGAACATCATATAAGCAATAACATATATTATTCATGAAAAAGCAAACATTTGCAAGACAACCACAATTAAACTGAGACGTAAAATCGCGACGTTCCGGATACCGTTATCATGCAAGACTGAATAATGAACATGGTACAGAATACATACGGTAGGTGAACGATTAACGGAAACATTAACGTCGCTATTACAGTAAAATAAAGAAGTTGTTATCCATTAATTGTGACTACTTTGTCTTCCGTTAATTTCTAATAATGCCTATCAAAAAATTCAATTGTGATATCACCAACACACAAACCCAACAATTACAACAACCATTGGCCTATAGTTGTCCTATCTGTATTACCAAACCATTAATTATCCATAATATTTCCAATCATTTTTAATCGAAATTTGATGGATTGTACAAAGTCAGTGTTTATTAAATCTGGTTGTAAAAAAGGTTATTTATATCCCTTTGAGGGAATACACCTTGACAGGTTTAATCAAAGCCAGTTTGAAGGTAGAATTAGTGAGTAAATTATTTATCTTTTTAGCTTACAAGACAACCAAGTTAATCCCAGTTCTCTTCTTACACTTAGTTGCCTGGCTGCCATGTCACACAGGATCTATAGATATATGTGGTAAACACAAGTAATTCTGTGTAGATGTTATGTCATTAAAACTAGACCCAATTCAGGCGACCAGTGCAATTTTGATTTGATTGGTGAATAATTTCGGTTTGTGATGAGCATGAAGCCATTGATGGAAGGAGGTGAGTTTTGTTGTCAAGGAGTTATCTAGACCTCCTGAGGCCCATATTTGGCCCAATGATTGGAGTAAATGTCAAATAATCATCTCAATTTTCATTTCATTTAATGTTAAAATAGTCATTTTATAAGTTATAACTAATGTTATGACTTTATAGAGGTGACTTGTATTTTACTGTAAAGAGGACTTTAAAGCTTAGTTTTACATTTTTCATTGAATTTAATGTTAAAATACCTCTGAACTTTGAAGGACAACTAGAATGAAAACACTACTTGCGATTCTTTTGCGAATATCAATTTTCCTAGATACATTTAGTCAATTTCCGAGAGCGAAAAAGTCATAATATTCGTTGAAAGTATTTAAATGTCGAATTGAAAGTGCTGTAATTGGCTTCTAAAGCAAACACCTTTGGGGGCGTTGCATAACGGTGCCGGTGCATCGGTGTGTGACAAAAAAGTGAGTGAGTGAGTGAGTATGGTTTTACGCCGATTTTAGCAATATTCCAGCAATATCACGGCGGGGGACACCAGAAATGGGCTTCACACATTGTACCCATGTCGGGAATGGAACCCGGGTCTTCGGCGTGACAAGCGAACGCTTTAACCACTAGGCTACCCGGCCGCCCCGTGACAAAAAAGATTTCTATGGATGATATGTGATTCTGATCAACTAAACATATACTGATTCTGCTATTTCTGTTAATCCTACATAAATACCAACATTGCAGACATTGTTTAAGGCGTGAAACGTCACCTTTGATCTTGATATTGTGAATAATTAAAATAACAATTAAATATCTGTAACTTGCATTTTATGACATAAATCCTGTTTGGATGCAATAACCAGTGACTTCACACTTGTTCGGTAACGTCCCAATTGTCAGACATCCAATTTGTCAGACAGTTTATGCCATGATGAGTCAAGGATGTATGTTAAGTAATAGTTACCTGTTTACCTTTCATTAAAGTGGAACAGACCAATAAACAGAAAATTTTGAGGAATTTACAGGAGAAGTTTAATATGCACTTTTAATCATCACATCATACCAAAAATTACATATTTGAATTATTTACAGGATATATTATTCGTCTTTAATATGGAACATATTTCACTATAACCCTCATACAGCGGGCGGAAATGTGTCATTTTACATGAGAAATAATAATATTACATTATTAGAAAGACACTATATACATTGAAACGTGTGACATCACACATCTTCAGTTTTTACAGCATTTCATAACATTATTCCAAAAGACAATATATTCATCAAAGTTTTTGTTGTTGTTGCTTAAGTGTTTAAGAGGTCTTTTTCTCTCTTAGCAATTTCGGCTGTCCTGCCCCTCTTTGAAACTCGTGTGTGTAAGTAGGATTCACATATCAATTACGAGTTTTAGTATTCATAAACTTTCTCTTTTTGTGTTGATATGATTTCTATTTTCGTAAAATATCTTTAGTTGCTCTGTTTATATATGTACGAGTAGCTGTCCATCTGTCAGAAATTAAGATAGTTTGGCCTCGCTATTGCATCTCTTGGCTACAGGAGATCTGCAACAGCTAGCTCAATTCGGTTCAGTTTTATTTCTCTGAAAAACCACCAACGGTGGTACAAGAGTATATATCTATACAACATATAATACACAATGCAGATCAAGATGGTAACAAGCCTCAATAAAATAAATATAAAAGAAAAAAATCTAACTGATTTAACTGCAATTCTTGTTTTAACCAAGCCCGAACTGGGGCATGGTCTTGACATTCCAGTAACAAATGAGCAATGGAATCACGTTGATTTCAAGATTGGCATGCCTTGTCATAGTGCTTGTTGTGATTTCCTCAAATTCATATGGCACGGTACTTATAGTACATGATATGTGAGACTATACTCAGGTCATGGAGAAGTTTAATCTATATAACGTGTTCTTATTCTACCTAACAATGTATTTAATGAAAATAATGCAAAACAAACTCAACGGTTAAAAGGTTTTTATTAATCTTCCGATATTTTATTTCATTGAAAAAACTACTCCTTGTCTTGTCTAATAAAACATCCGCAACCCGACACAGATCAAACGCAACTTACAAACACAATCATAATCTGGTTAATCTATATCACTCAACAGGTTGGAGTAGCTTACTCTGCCCAGAGTATGGAACAGCTCAGTTACACTGATCACACTTGGCTGGTCTGTCTGATGATTGGGTCGTCTCATAAATGGGATGTCTGACAATTGGGAGTGAACCCACAAAATAAACTAGAAAACTTCAAGGCCTTAGGCGTATTCTTAATCAAAACGGAACTAATAAAACGCATCTAAAAACACAATAACCTACCAAATCAAAATCACATAGACAAACAAACATCCACCATATCCAGCTCCCTTAGTTCTCCTCCTCAATCCCATCGGAATCTATTCCAAATCTCAAAATTCCCAAATTCTATATAAGCAACCCCTAAAACCCCCCTCTTGGGTTGCACAGACCACTTTCGCCCCTTTCGGAAACACATTAAATGGCCTGGCCGGGCCCGTGTGCGAAATACGCATCAGTCGGAAAGCGCACGTTAAATCTCCAAAGTAAGTAAGTAAGTAAGTATTGGGAGTGAACCACTTGTCCAGCAGCTGACCAAGGGATAGTTCCCATCGTGGTTGTTTACGCTGGGGACATATGAACCACTGTGGCGGACCTGCAGATGCTTGTAACACATCTCTAATGATTTGGGACACAAATATACAGAATACATTATCACGTTTTCCTTCACATCTCAAATTTATATAATTCACAGCCTACCTAAAAGTGAAACAGCATTGTTATTATCCTTCACTGGTTTCCGGTTGGAAAGAAGTTGTCTCTTCTCCCTCTAAAGGACATGATCCCAGTTTTGATGCTACTACTTCTTGGGTGGCATCAAACTAACCGGATTGTGATCGCAGTATTATCCTGCACAATCTGCAGTATCACAATGAATGTGTACATACTTGGATGCCACGCGTCGAGATGATTTGTTGGCGTCGACCTACTGCTCAGTGACATATTAAAGTGCTTTGTGACAAAATCATCTTTGGTGTTAATGATGGTTGGGCATCCTCTTTGGGAACATTTCAATGAAAGGTAGTTCGACGTCTAGATCTGATCATTCGAATTCGACTTTATTCACAAGGTGTGTAGGGCAGCGGCCCTTATCACATAGTGTTACAACGGAGTGATTGTTATTTTGTTCTATCACAGCTCTTCTTTATTCTGTAGACTTATATGCATACATTGCAAGATTCTTTAAAATATCTTCATTACTACTCGACATGAGTGTATAAAATTTATTTATAGAAGGATTGTGCTGGTACATAACCGTTCATGATGGATATATATTGACTTAGCGTATGATGACATAGTGTCTGTGTCTGAGAAAGAAATGGAGGAGAAACTACCTAGACGCAAGATACATCTACATAAGAGTAGCAACAGGAAAAGCAGATCTAACCGCTCATGGTGGACGCCTGTTCTCAATGAGAAAAAGGAACATGATGAGTAAAGCAGATAAAATATGGAGAAAAGCTTATGGTGTAGATGAAAGGAAATGCAAGAGTACATACATATAATATAGAAAAAAACTTTGAAAAAAAAAAGTCCGTGCAGCATGCTTAACGTCGATACAGAAACGAGGCGCCTGGAATTCGTGTGCAGTGAAGATCAAGGTCAATTCTGGAAAACTATTGGGAGAGTAGGGGTCGGATTTGAACGAAACGAACGGATACCTATGGAGATCAACAGCGGAGATGAAACAATATGATGGAAAAGTGACATTGACTTGCAGCTGCAGGCTAGTGATAATAATTTAAACTCTGATACGCCAAGCGTGAACTATGTACGAAGTGACGTCACTATGTTTGAACCCGAGATGAGCACAGAGGGAGTTCAACGAGCTGTGCAGATAGCTAGGAGAGTAAAGCTCCTGGTATTGATAACATTCAAGCGCAGTACCTTAAGGATGACTTCATGGTGTCCCTACTTCACTGTTTAGTCAACGTTTGCTTCAACTCGTCGATAATTCCAACGATGTGGCCTCAGACAATCATTAATCCAATCCCAAAGTCTTCAAGCACTGATCCCCGCGATCCGCCCAGCTACAGAGGTATAGCCCTTGGTTCCGCTACATACAAGATCTATTGCTGTGTTTTGAATAATGTGGCTTTTAATGTGAACGGAGCAGAATGACATGATCAGTGTTAACAAGAATATGTTCTCTCGTGGAGGATCAACCATTGCCAACGTAAACTTTCTCACGAGTATAACTGAAACTAGAAAACAGCTAACAAAATCCACTTTTACTATTTTTATAGACTTTAGAAAAGCATATGACAGTGTTGACAGGCAAATGTTGTGGGATAAGTTGTACAAGCGTGATGTTGACGGAAAGATGTTCTAGGCTTTGAAAGTCACTCTACTCTGATGTGAGGTGTAGTGAACCTGTCAATCATCTGCAAACGACATGCTTCCCCGTTAAGAGGGGTGTCAAGCAAGGATGTATACTATCGCCTATCGTTTTCAACTTCATCTTAAACGGGATATCAAAGCCCTGGATATTGGAGTGAACATAGATGGGGAGACTGTAGGCATTCTGGCTTATTCAGGTGATATCGTGCTGATTGCTAGTACAGAGGCAGACCTGAACACCATGCTATCAACTTTAAACGTATGGCTGAAGAAGAACAACATGGTTATAAACCCCGAAAAGATTGTTCATTTCCGAAATCCCGAAATCCCCAAATCCAACTTTAACTTCAACTTCAATATCCGGGGTAGAATAGGTCTTCAGTAACCCATGGTTGCCGTAAAAGGTGACTATGCTTGTCGTAAAATGCGTCTAACGGGATCGGGTGGTCAGGCTCCCTGACTTGGTTGATGCATGTCAATCCCAATTGCATGGATCGATGATCATGTTGTCAATCACTGGATTGTCTGGTCCAGTCTCGATTATTTACAGACCGCCGTCCTATAGCTGGAATATCGCTGAGTGGGGCGTTATACAACAAACACACAAACCAAACTGTACACATCTTGCAGGGCATTTTATCCGTATTACCTATCCATAAGATGGATGTCAATATATGTCAGTGCTGCTAAATGTCAGCTGTGATTGATTTGTTTTCAATACAAACTACTTAAACGTTTTTTTTCTTTCTTTGCAGAGCGAGTAGTCATCCCATTACAGCTTGGCAAGGTGGATATTTATATTTATTTAAGTCACCATTAAGATGTGAATGCAATTACTGTAGAATATTGTGTTCACCACAGCGAGATTATCATTTAACATTAGATAGGTTTCATTCATGTATCTGTATGAGGCAACGTGGGAAATGTCCTTTTGAAAGATTACTTTTGTGGGAATATAACAAATTAACATTTGTTTCACTGCAAGCCCGCATGAAGACATGCATTAATATGACATTACTTGGATGGTGACAAGTTGTGTCATTATTAATATATTTAATCATGTTTACTTTATGTTTCAGGTCCCAGCGGACACAGATGATGATGTTGATCTTATTGTTATATACACCAAAGTTCCCAAGACTGGCAGTACATCATTCGCAAGCATCGCATATGAGTTGTGCAAGATAAATAGCTTCAATGTGGTTTCTATAGATATCACAAGACATGGTCACAAATTATCTTTATCAGATCAGGTAAGTTAATCGTTTTCTTACATTAGATTATTGCATAATCAGCACAACCGTGAATATTCTTTGAAGGTCACAGGCCTGTTCGAACTAAAAATTGTTGCTTAGGGAAAGACAGTTCAAACTCGTGTCTTGTGAATTGTGATTATAAACGCACTTTTGAAAAATATATCCTTAAATAAAATCTAATACATATAGACCATATTATGCATGATTGTGTTTAATGAAAAAAGTCTACATATTGTAAAATACATTACCGTATTCGACGTAATAAGCACCCAGGGATAAAATGTTGGTGAAAAAAAACAGAGTTGAAAGATCGTAAATTTCGTGGTTAATGCTGACACTGACAGCCTGAAATGATACAAAAGAGATCTGTGTGTATTATACAGGACATATATAGTTTTACAGAACTTAATTGCCCATAATTAAGGGTGCATATAACACACGAGTGCGTATTATACACGAATAAATAAGTCTTGTGTACATTGATCAATCGGAAGAAATTGGGGTTGTTCTCTAGCCAATATATTAGCAAATATCGTAGTGGGCGCTTATTAGAGCGTGGCGCTTATTACGTGGCATGTGGTTATTGAATTCTGGGCCTGTCATTTCAAATAGTAGAGCATGAGATGAGAACTGATTATCATTACAATCCTGCACGCACTATGCATCTCTAATGAAAGTGCCACAGACACCAGCTTGACTGACAGCTGGCGTAAATGAATGCGTTGCTCTGGATTCTTTCATTCCATACAATGTGTGAAGCCCATTTCTGGTGTCCCCCGCCGTGATATTGCTGGAATATTGCTAAAAGCGGCGTAAAACCGAACTCACTCACTCACTCACTCATTCCATACAAAGGCAGAGGATACACAGTGACAACAAGGTGAAATGATTGATCACTGTTCATAGCCTGTTGTATTTTAGTCACACAGGGACTTTAATGCGTTGTTCCAGTGAGAACAGTTACATTCCAGAGAGTTCAGTCAGAAAACTCAAACCCAGCTTCAAGAAGTCACAAGCTGTGTAACACTGCATCTCGGGCAGATATTTTCATTTCGAGGCCAAGCAGTGGTGAAAATCCCTTTTTAATTCCTAGTTTTCTGTGACAAAGAAGCATGTAGATATGCAAATGTAGTGAAATATTTAACTGAACCATGCATCATTTTTCGGTTTTGGCAGTGTGGTCAAATAGAAGATGTTCCTGTTCTTCTTGCAGGGGTTTGCGCTCGAACAATGAAAAACAATTTCTTAAATACTTATGTAAGCATTTTAAGATATAACGACAGTGTAATTAATTCATAAAAATAAAACTAGTTGGGTAAATTCCCAGCTGAATTGATTACAGAGTTGTATAAAATTACAGTTTGTCGACCAGGGCAAAGACCTTTTATACCTCCTGGATCAGCAGAAGACCCAGTATTGGAAAACGACCCCTAACAGTCACAATACCACGCTTTATTCACTCAACCTAATTTACTTACAGCAATGATCGATCGATAGGGTCACCCAGATTCCCTTACGATCATGTTTTCTTTGCAGTCAGCTTCCTATCCTTCACCCCGACAGCTTTAGTTTTCGTTACGGCTTCAATGCAGATACGATATTTGCGTCCAATCGTATCTGTATGAGGTCCCGTGATTTGAAGTCTGCCATATATAGATTGTTAGATCTCGCGAATGGCTTGTAAAGTTTCTGTGCTTTTCACTTTAATATCTTACGGCAATATCCCAAATAAATTCTGGCGTTATCATTAAATAGCAATGTTAAAATGAGAGATCGTTTATCAGCTGTTAAAAGTTTCCATCACATTAATAATATATTGCATCCATATATCAGTAAGATAAGAGTTGAATTGGATATACAGCAACACACACACACAAAACACAACGCAACTTCATTACGTGGCACGAAAATGCCCATTTCCTGACCTGACCTGCCTAAAGTAAATTATAAACTGTTTAAATCAGAATTATACACTGAACCCTACACTCAACTATGACGCCATTAGAGATCCGACCTTGCTTCTTGAGATGCTTGTCGTTAGAGGCGAATAACGGGATCGGGTGGTCAGGTTCGCTGACTTGATTGATGCTTGTCATCGTATCCTAATTGCATGGATCGATGCTCATGATATCAATAAATGGATTGTGTGGTCTAGACTCGATTATTTACCGACCGCCGTCATATAGCTGGAATATTGATGAATGGGCCGTTAAACAACAAACCAACCAAACTGTGAACATCTTGCAGGGCATTATTATATACATATCCATAAGATGGATTACAATATATGTCCATGCTACTAAATGCTAGCTGTGATTGATTTGTTTTCAAACAAACAATCAAACAAAACACTGGATTTTGTTTCAAGATATTGAATATGATACATCACAGATATTTTCATACGGGTACAAAGCCATTTTAGCCAAATATACGAACACAAGTCCATGTCAGCAACTGTAATTTCGGTGTTAATGTTTGTTGTTACAGTCGATTTGTATCAAAGCATGAACTCAACACACACACACACTCACACTCACACACACACACACACACACACACACACACACACACACACACACACACACACACACACATACACACACACATACACGCACCAAGATTCTGACACAGCACAGCACAATTGTTCTTAGGTCCCGATTACAATGTATCTAAGAATAAACTGAAATGTTTTCATCTTTTATCCATTTAAATATCAGTAGTTCCCATGATGTAAATATTGTACAATAATGATCAATAATTACATTGTTTTAGTAACGTTGCTTAGAATGAGACCGTGTTATGAAACCCGCTTACTGGGATATATTACAGCCTCATGTGCAACGAACCATAGTCAGTGTTCTTAGTTTGTAGTTTTCAGTTTTTATAGCCTTAAAGCAGTGGCCTGAGGGAAATTCGAACCTTGTTCATGAAAGAACATGATATATCAATAATACTTGTTTTTAAGTCAGATATGGATCTGTGACACCATGTTATTGTATTATCGTATTGAAATGTATGGTAGTATTCTTTTCATATCAAAAACCATTTGATTTTGGTGCTATATTAGTATAAAATATATTTGCCTTTAGTATCACCGTTCCTAATTCACAAATGCATATTGCCTGTTAAGATACTAGTAATTAAAATATGAGAACTATATGCTCGCTGATGGTATTGGGTTGTAGACGACATGAACACACAACAAATGTCAAGTAATTGTAAGAAGGCGATATCATAAATGTTCTTTTGTCCTCAACTAATCTGTTCAATTGTTTTAACTCCAACGGAAATGTTCAATGCGTAAATGTCATAGGAAGTACACACGTAGATTCCTAGTCTTGTTAAATACATGTAGCTGTACAAACTCAGGATTTTCCAACAGAAAAAGACTACTTGTAACACTGAAGCAGGTGACATCTTGACTACCTTTGCGGTACAAAACAAACTGAGCATATTTATCACAGTAGATTGAAAGAGGATAACCCCATTGTTTTTTGTTCAGTAAAGAGAAATGTTACATGAGAATCATTTGCCGGACATTCTAATTTACAACAAACAAAACATGAAGGTTTATATTATATTTACTAAATACTAATAATGAATTGAATATGTATTTTCCGTTGAGTTCACGTCAAGGCAATCATTTTGTATAATAAACACGTCATTGAGAAGTGAGATGCTCTGACATAACACAACTTTGGTTAATGAAGATATGAGTTGACAATCTACGTATTGTTTTATCAAATATTGGTCACAAAAACAAATAATGGTATTCGCCATCGATGTCTTTTAAGCCACATGAAGTGATTTTTAATTTATTATGTAGGATACATTGCCTTCAACCTATTCCAATACATAATCTAAATTTAAGACGACTACACAAGTGGCATTCTTTCAATATTGAAAAGTGACATTCAAAATTAAAAACAAAACAACATTGCTATGTCTTAAGAGGAATGTTCATGTAATATTACAATTGGTGTTTTATATATCAGTGAAACAGTGGATATATTATTATACGTAGTGATATTTCTCTCTCTCGAAAAGGAAGATTCAATAATAAATGAAAAAGAGACTCATCAACTTTTACCACTAAATTATTTGTTTAACATGTTGTACCCACGTACTGGTTAAGTTAATGCCTCGTAGTAGACTGTAGAACCAAAAAATAATCTGCGGATCTTAAATGGCAATAAGAAGATGTATAATGCCTCTCTCTGGATAACGGCATTAATCAGTAACACACATTTCGAGGTCACAATCACTGCAATGCATTCTGTGAGACATGAAAAACTGAAGTCAGCAGAATACATAAATCCAAATATGCATTCCTCCACTTAGTTTAGACACTGTCTATCTGTCTCTTAAATAGGCATAGCATCTGATTCAGAACAAAGGAATACAAGTAACTGTTCATTAAAATTAAAAGCCTCAGTATTTCCATTAATTCCAAACCTGTACAAAACTGGTCACATAATATACATTCATTCCGTTATTTTTCAGCACGGTTTGAAAAACAGGGAATTAATTCATTTAATGAGTATACATTCCTAACATTTGGCATCAAAAGGCATAGTTGCACATGTCAGTATCATTTTCCACAGGTGATGTTGCCTATGGGCATAGAATCCAACAATTCCACACATTATTCCAAAGGGCATTAATGGAAATACACAATTTCATGCAATGTCAAGAAGACATTTCAAACTGTTATTAATTCCCTTTTGGCTGAGATTGTGTCATCTAACAGGAATAAATAACAGTTTGGTTTAATTGTCTAAAACTGGATTCACTTCCTCAAAGCAACGACTCTCAATGTGATGTATGATTGCATGAGAAGCTGTAACATAATAAGTTAGGCCACTGTGTGCTTAATATCAGAGTAATGTGTGGGATGGAGTGTGAGTTTCATATTGATGTGTATCCAGTGTTTGAAATTAAACGTGGTCTAGTGGGAAGAGCGTCTGCCCGGAGAGCGGAAGGCTGCTGGTTCGATCCCCCGTCAAACCAAAAGACGTTATGGTATGAAAGGATGGTACTTGTTGTTACCCTGCCTGGATTCGGGTATCCATGTTGAAACCCGCATTGAAATTAAAAGGGGTGCTGGGTCCTTGAGGTTTTCTAATGTAGTATTTAAATCAATGGATCGCATCACTCTAAAATATTCAACATCAGAGTTATGTCAAGACCCCCTTGACTCATGCTGCAAATATTGTGATTATTTGGTGGATGATTGCGTGTAAATCTGTAAATTAATCAACTGTGTGTATTGAGAAATATGTTTTGGGGTATGTTTGACACACCATTTTGACCTATCCACAATGTTGTTGTTTCCAGATGAGGTTGATCACTAACATTACCAGTTGGACAGAGAAGAAGCCGGCACTGTATCATGGACATGTAGCCTTCATTGATTTCTCAAGGTAAGGATGTTTGCAGTCTTTAAAACATAATGTCATGATCATGCACCTGAGGATCAGCAAACACAACACAGGTCTCTAAGTGTTTTAATACAGACTCTTTAAAACCGACCACATTTGCATGGGACCTGTGGATTGCCAGATAGAGGGAGTGATGTTTGAGACTGCAATAAGCAATATGCAAGTCATATCATGGCAGCCTCTAAATAATCGTGTCTGGACCAGGTGCTACCAATAACTAGTGATCCACGCCATCAAGATAAGATGACACCAGATCTGCCAAATCACACAGCCAGATCATCTCATCCTCATTTAGTCGGCTCCAACGCAATCATGATATACTGTGGACGCATATTCTGATACTCATGAACACGTTTTCTGCAACTCAATATTGCAACAAGTTTCAACATCATAGCCAAACATGCAGGTTCAGTGTGAGAGGCATTTTACTGTAACGATACTGATTTCTTGGATTGAACTTAATGACAAACCTGTCTAAAACCAATGTTTCATTTCAGTCGTGAACATATTCAGTTTAAAATGTTTACCTGTCATGCTTAATGTGATGTGAATATTCTATTCTTATGCGTGTATCAATATGTTTGGTATTGTTCCAGAACTCCATTCCATATTTTGTAACACATCGAGAATTATGAGTCATATTAAAATATTACGTTGCATTGTCTTTGTGCACAGAAATTTGAGATAATAATGTCATATGTGTACTGTGCTTCTGTTTAGCTGATTTACAGAATGACGACAAAATAGATATTTGGGGATACAATTGAACAATGACGTCAGTGCGTGGTATATCTGCTACCATATGGCTTGTGTTCTGTCACTTCTGTATCATATAGTGACACAAGTGAGTGAGTATGGTTTTACGCCGCTTTTAGCAATATTCCAGCAATATCACGGCGGGGGACACCAGAAATGGGCTTCACACAATGTACCCATGTCGGGAATCGAACCCGGGTGTTCAAAGTGACGAGCAAACGCTTTAACGACTAGACTACCCGAGCGCCCAGAGAGACACAAGGTTGCTGTGAATGTGTTACATGCGACCTGGACACATTGTGAAATAAATGATCACCTTTGTGATCACATCGCTGAACATTAAGTATGACACAGCTGTAATGAAACATTGGTTTTAGACAGGGCTGTCATTTAATAGACCCACAATAAATTTGAATCAATGCAAGACGCGACATCGACCAACATAATGAAGAGGGTTGTGTATATTTGAATGACTGTCACTCAACTTGGCTATTTTTCCTTCTTCTTTTTTCAATTATATTCCAGATATATGACGGCGGTCTGTAAATAATCGAGTCTGTAACAGACAATCAAGGGATTGTTAGCATGAGTATCGACTCATGCAATTTGAATACGATGACATACATCAACCAAGTCAGCGAGCCTGACCACCCGATCCCGTTATTCGCTTCTACGGCAAGCACGGGTTGCTGAAGACCTAGTCTATCCCGGATATTCACGGGTCTCACTCAACTTGTCATTCACGCTTTTGTGTTGAAGAAACCTTCATGTATATCTGATGTTAGAGACCCTACGTTATTTAGTAACGTCTGTAGGAAGCATTTGATTTCACTTACACACCGGCAGAGAAGAGGCTTGATTGTGAATGGGACATTTAGGGTGAAATGAAGTTTAACTACAAAACAAAACAATCCGTTTTATGTACGGGAACGATGAATTGCAAAATAACTCAAAATCGAGAATAGTCTACTTAACTTTATGTCAATACGATACACGGCTGCAATATCTGATGTGTGTTACTTTTATTCCCATCTGTTTTAAACGGTCATGTTATTATCTGTAAATCTTAAAACTTTGTACTTGAACTAAGTATTTTACGTCTATTTTCGCTGCTAGCGATCGGAGTGTCATAAAGTTCAGTTCAATTCAAACAAGTAAATGCAAATTATCAATGCAGGAGAACAACCAGGCCAGATCATCATGTAACCTGCTAACACCTTAACCACTAGGTTTCTCCTACACGTTCCAGCAAGACGCTCCAAGCAGGTACAGACTTGATGATACGTCAACAGTTTGCCACATGTTTGATATCAGCATGATAAATTGTTTTCAGGATGATCGTTTCACATGTATTCTTTCCATTCACAGTCTTGGTTTGCTGAAGAAGCCAATATACATTAACATGGTACGGGACCCCCTGGATCGGCTGGTTTCTCACTACTATTTCCTCCGATATGGAGACGATTTTAATCCAGCCAAAGTGCGGAGACATGCAGGAGACAATGAGGTACAGTTGTCAGGCTTTGTCTTCAATGTCTGCTGTTCTGTTCTTGGAAATAAGGCAACCAACAGTCATTAATTTCATTATAGGAAGACCATGATTTAAACCTGAAAGTCGGAGGACTAGTTCTTTTCTCACAGAATGTACTTATAAAACACAGCTGGAATATTGCTGAGTGCGGCGTCAAACAACAAACAAACATTTGCCAATGAAAAGTTTCTGATAACATGTTAAATTTGTTCCAGGTTAACAGGCATCTTCTGTTGTTTGTATACCTTTCTGGCAACATTAAAGAAAATGTTTCGAGAAGACATCACTTAAGGGGACAGTACTTGATCAAATAATATGAAGCTGATTTTGGGTAAATGAAATGGTTCCACACAATAGTGTACAGTCTGGTTGTCTTACCTTCAGTCAACATACAAACTGCAAAGAAACTTACACAAAACACAAAACAGGTTGGTTCTGTACACCAGATACATCCTAATACGCCTTGAAACTAATCTTGAAACTAACTCTTTCAACAAAATGCCACATATCATTGTTAAATGTCAATCTGTGTTACTTTGGATTCTCCTCCCATATTATGGGATGTTGTGCTATAACACAAATAATATCCCAAGCAGCATTAAAACTCCAGCCCATCCCTTGTCACTGCTGTTACCTGCTCCATCTCTGAGTATCACACTTTGTAGGCTGTTAACATATTGCTGATGTTATAAAGCTCGTTTACTCTCTCTCACTCATTCACCCACTCTCACTGTGGTAACTTGCTTAAACACTGAGTAGTTCACTGTGTGGTCTGTTGAGAAGTGTAGCTGAGATGGTATGTAACCCATTCAGTTTGGTTATCTGTTTTGAATATATATGGTGTTTTGTTTATGAGATACTAATTGAAAGAGAAATCATTGAAAAAGTAAACAGCAACGCAATTCGGTCAGGATGAGACGTTCAAGTTATATTTAATATCTCATTTAGATGTTTGCTCACACAATGACCTTTGTTCATCGAAAGAGGTTAAAGATGTTTCTGTTCTGTTGGGGAAGCTTGATCTCTTATGTCACAAGTTTAAATGGTTTGATACAGTATTTCGTGAACCTGTTTGAACATCAAGCACATCAAGCACCTCTTCTGATGATTGATCGCATGTAACACTCGTCAATGAATTACAAAGAAGACAATGGGAAGTCATAATCACCGATACAATGGGTCATAAATATTTGCAAGGTAAACATTAATCTGATCAGGTCAAGACTTCCACACCATGGGGTTGAAGATTAAAAAAGTCACCAGTAGACTATTGCTTGTCATAAAAGGTGTCAGTATGGATCAGGTGGTCAGGTTTGGTGAACATTGGCATTTGTTCATTATAGCAATCACATACTGGCATTGGAAAATACAGACTTTTCAACAGGAAACAAAAACATTCTTGTGATCCACCTGCAGGCTGCAATTAAAAATAAAATAGTTTCTGTGTTATGCCAGACTCTTCCATGAAAGTGTATGAAAACTAAAATAAAATACAATTTGATGATTATTGCAATGTACAAAATAATGGAATATATTTAAATAGTAATGAATCTGTAAATTGTTCTGAACACACTTTAAAGCTTTAAACTGTACATAAACGTTGTATTTCTGAGCCTATATGACAATAATGAGATGATGGATACGTATGTGTATTACCAAACCAAAGGGATTTGAAAAATAATGTAAGAATTGATGCCCCAGTTAAGATATGGATATGGATACGATACCATCATGATGCAGTTAAAATTGTATCCCATATCATCACATCTCTACAGTAATTGATCATTGTGAGATTTGATTTTCAGACGTTTGACGAATGTGTCAGTCGAAATGGGGAAGGCTGTGATCTTAAACACCTGTGGCTACAAATTCCATTTTTCTGTGGCCAATCTGCAGAGTGTTGGTAAGTGAAAGATATGTTGAAAATGAAGTGCACATTTGATTTGACCTAGGTCATGTTAAAGTTTGCCTTTCACCTAGCTGCTGAGTGCTCCATTCTGCATAAATGTTTCTTTTGCAAGTAACATGAAAGTTGGTCTCTCTCTTCATCCCCAATGACACTAATGTCCAAACACAAGGGCCACAGGAACACACAATGGCCACAAATGAGGACATATTTGATATAACTTCACATCATGTTGTGCAGTGTTCTGAAACGTTAAAAACTGAGCACGTTAGGTAACAAATGCCCCTTGGAAAGGATTGGAGTTTATCAATTGGTTTGTCAAGTTGGATAGTGGTGAACACATCTTTACCTTGAGGTAGTTTCTGAATGACAAACCTTCTGTTTTACAGGGTACCCGGTAGTAGGTGGCCTCTAGAACAGGCCAAGCACAATCTCATCCATCATTACCAGGAGGTAGTTTCTGAATTATCCACTTTCTGTTTTACATGGTACCCGATAGTAGGTGGCCTCTAGAACAGGCCAAGCACGATCTAACACACCATTACCAGGAGGTAGTTTCTGAATGACAACCTGTCTGTTTTACAGGGTACCCGGTAGTAGGTGGGCTCTAGAACAGACGGAGCACGATCTAACACACCATTACCAGGAGGTTGTTTCTGAATGACAAACTTTCTGTTTTACATGGTACCCGGTAGTAGGTGGGCTCTAGAACAGACGAAGCACGATCTAACACACCATTACCAGGAGGTAGTTTCTGAATGACAACCTGTCTGTTTTACAGGGTACCCGGTAGTAGGTGGGCTCTAGAACAGGCGAAGCACAATCTTGTCCATCATTACTTGGTAGTAGGTGTAACAGAGGAGCTTGGTGACTTCATTGCTGTGTTGGAGGCGACTCTGCCACGTATGTTCCTAGGGGCAGTCCAGCTGTTCAACTCAGGTGAGACTTCAGGTTTATAGAATTTACGTGCAGTTTACATTTTTTATTTGTCACCGCATCAAATACTAATCAAACAGTTAGTATCAAGTGTGAAATTGATTGTTGGGATTTTATTGAAAAACATAAATGCTTGAAAAAAATATCTATGCTTCAAACTGTTTAAAGCTTTTTTTTGAAAAATATACTTATATGTAGTGTTATTTAAAGAAATATCTAGTCTCCATATAAAATCATTGCGATATGCCAGATGAAGTTTAATAACTATGGGTTGATCTGCAGGTGTACGGTGTATTAATTAGGCTGAACCAAGCTTTTGATTTGTTTTTCCTTATTTTGGGGGCGAAAACCTGCATGACCTGTAAGATCAATATTATTTACATTACTTCGGTGAAATCTTATGTTATTTTACAGCAACCACAATTGATTTACCTGACATACGTAAAATATAACAATATTAGAACATGTTATTCTCGGTACAATAATAGTTTGAGATACAGTTTCTGAATCACCTGTTGATACGGAAGAAAATGTATGTACAGCTGATGGCTATTTCCGGCTTTTTATGTCGACATCCATGGACACAGCATCTATGATTGAGACAGATGTTTTCTACATCTGGACCTGCTCTCTGTTGTCATGCAACACTTATCATATATTCATGTATCTGTATATAACCATCTGGGCCTCTTTGAAAACATTGAAACTTTTTTCAGCACAACACCAAATTGCTTTTATTATTGTATAACAAAATAATCTCCAGTTTAGTCAAACACTTCATATGGATTGGATTGGCTTAAGTGTTCCAATTTTGCCCTGGTAATTTCCAGACTCTTGAAGTCAAGAAGCATATGTGCTATATCCACCTGATAGCACCACCATGTCCACATTTACAAGTTCCTGCCTCAAGGGGGGAGTGGGGCAACCCAGTGGTTAAAGTACCGTACTTGCAGCACCGTACGAAGGGTGAAATGGGTGAGGACCCACCGTGATAGCTCTGGAATATTGCTAAACGCGTAGTAACGCCATACCAACTCTTACCGCAAGCAATGAGATCCCATTATTGAATTCCAAATTTGGAATGTGTTATTAATATAGAAGTGGTGAGAATGTTCCTTTTTCACCCGATTATTTCAGACAATGTAATGTGTTGACTTGTTTTGTTACACCACTATGTGAGACTTTTGAGTTGCGTCCCTTAGACACGTCAGAAACCTATGATTGTCGGATCGAATTCCGGTTCGCCCCGATTATGTTTCTAGGTTTGTCAGCACCATTTGTGCTCGTGGGTTTCACCGAAGTGGTAAACGTCTGAGACCTGCATCACCACGGGCTTTCCTCCCACATTAAGCTGACACGCCGTGATATAACTGGAATACTGTTAAAAACGGCGTTAAACCCAACTCACTCTCTATATTTTGTTACAGTGTTGATGAAAGTGATGTGTTTATGCTTCAGGTAGCATGTCCCATCGGCGGAAAACCGCAAAGAAGATTGTTCCCAAACCAGAAACCCTGGACCGTATACAGCAATCTGCAACATGGCGGATGGAGAACGAGTTCTATGTGTTTGCTGTAAAACAGTTTCATTTTGTGAAGCATCAGACATTTAGCCTTGTAGATGGGGAATATGTTGAAAAGGCAAAGAGTTTTTACCTACGAGAAAAAATCGGCCTAAACGACACTGGCTTTGAGACATGTCACTGTGGTTAATTAGAATGAATGTATATAGATAATTAGGATCAGATTCATCTAAAGAACGACTCTACCAGGAAATGGTTATCCTCGTCCGTAATGTATGTTTGTCTGAGCAAGATGTGCAAGAGGTTACTCCCCTTAGTCATCTAGATGGACAAATGAAACTTTCACATAACAGTACTCATTTTTAATGTTGAGTGAGTTCTTTGCCCTATAAATAAAAGAAGATGAGAAATATCATGATACTCTGTAGAGGGCCGTTCAGTTCAAAAGAAGTGAACCAAAATGGCTTGAGGGAGAACTCTTCAATGTTTTAATAAGGACCGGTTGGACAGGTTCTATCACTGTATTTACTTACAGGAGTTGCAAGCATGACTCTTGTGTCAGATGTTCAATTCCTTTACAAAGCTTTCCTTCACATATTTTTAACATCTAATCAAACAGTGTTCATACAGAGGCAGATGACTGTCACTTCATTTGAGTGAGTTTGGTTTAACGCCGCTTTTAACAGTAATCCAGTTATATCGCGGCGTGTCAGCTTAATGGGGGAGGAAAGCCCGAAGTGATTCAGGTCTCAGACGTTTACCACTTCGGTGAAACCCACGAGCACGGGTAGGGTCCTGACAAACCTAGAAACATAGTCGGGGCGAACCGGGATTCGAACCCACAATCATAGGTTTCTGGCGTGCCCTAGAGAGGCAACTCTGCACAGCGAATCCCGGCACTTCATTTGAAGTGTTTACTTTACTGGTTGTATGTATAAAGAGGCAGCAGAGTATATCATAGACATGATGTAACATATCCATACATGTTGATGGTTTAGAATCATATGCATGTCTCTTGAAAGTGCTCTTACCAACTGCAGATGAAGATAGTTAATGGAAATATTGAAGGGAGCCTTCCAAAATTGTTACTGACTGGGTGTGTTTGACTTTCTAAGCCATGTTTTCTGTAGGCGTACGTGATGGTCTGTCATAAGTTAATAATCATCAATTCGGGTATTGAAGAAGTATGCAAGTGGATTATGCAGGTGAAGCAGAGTAACACTGGTGTAAGAGAATATTGAGTTACACACATTAGGTATACTAGTAAAAATATGAGGCACAGCATAATAGGGTGAAGGTACATGTACTTTCAATTTATATCCTATGGCAGAATGTTTTTTTTGTTTCATTGTTGGAAACCTTGTTATGTTTGTATTGATACAAATAAAGATAAAATGCAAATCACGAGCCATTTCTGTTTCAGGTTGAAAAGAAAATTATTTTTTAATTATATTGTAATCTTCTGTAACAAGGTAATTCACCAAAACACAATCTGAATAAATAATAATAAGATTTTCAGTTCGGTTTTTTTCATGTTCACAAAAATCATAGTTACAACACAAATTTGTTTGTGATAAACTATCCTTCACAGTGGTTAATTATTTTATTTTGCATGCAAAAAAAATGATTTAATTACACTGCCAGCAAGTAGAATTAACAAGCTTCTACTAGTACTGAAGCTATCCAGAAATGGGCTTCACACAATGTACTGTTAGATAATGGACAGATACCGTTACTGTTTATAATCAACTGCTTACTGCTTTTTTCATATCATCAGAAACATTTTATGAAAAGTATACCGATGTATATGAGTGAGTGAGTGAGTTGTGTTTAACGCCGCTTTTTACAGTATTCCAGTTATATCGCGGCGTGTCAGCTTAATGTGGGAGGAAAGCCCGAAGTGATGCAGGTCTCAGACGTTTACCACTTCGGTGAAACCCACGAACACGGGTATGGTGCTGACAAACCTGGAAACATAATCGGGGCGAACCGGGATTCGAACCAACAATCATAGGTTTCTGGTATGCCCAAAGGACGCAACTCTGGACAACTAAGGACAGCGAATTGTGGCACCTTAGACCACTAGGCCACCCGTGCCTCTGACTTCTTTATTACCTTTCTTTGAGTACACAGAAAACGACTTTGTGTTCAGAAGGCTCAGCAAAATTAAACATTTGCCATATTCCTATTTTGAAAACCTTCTACAGTACAAGAGCACATAAGCATATCATCAGCAAAATGCAACAACAATATCTTAACAATCCCTTGTACATCCCTTCCGAAAATTCCTGTCGCAAATTGTCAGCTGAATTACAGAGAACGAACTTGCTTGACTCTAAACGCTTCTTACAGGGGTATTTTACATAGGGCGGAGTGTTGATCATTATGGACCACAAGCAATTGGACACACGTGAAACCAATCTTGGAAGAGCTTAGACGTGCAAAATCACATTCCCTTTTTAAGTGTTGGGCCAGTCACTGAATACCTCCAAAAAGGATTTTTTTTCTTTTTAGCACTATTTCCCTTTCAAAAACGGTTCTCTTCAGCTACCTGTCCAGTGAGTTAGGATCCCTGGTACTGTTTGGGGCAGCTCAAAACGTTTAACTGATGGACGTTCTCTGTATGGCCATGACATAACCAATGCACAGAGATTTTTCAGTGAATCGGGTGCTTATGTTCTGTTGTACCATGTCCCTTCTGAGAGATTTAACAAAGCTGACCACGGTCTGGCAATTGAACAAAAATGTTCATCCGTTTCAGGAACAATGAAAATTCATCAAGTACTCACATCGTGTCCTCAAAATATATCTTATTGGGATATCAGCTGCACCTGTATTTCACATTACTTTGGAGGACATTACTTTAAACACTGTTCCCTTGAATATGTGTAATGTGCTGAGCTGTTAACCAAATGCGCAGGAAAAGGAAAACACATAGTGTTAGAATAGTGTCTTCACATAGTGTTAGAATAGTGTCTTCACATAGTGTTAGAATAGTGTCTTCACATAGTGTTAGAATAGTGTCTTCACATAGTGTTAGAATAGTGTCTTCACATAGTGTTAGAATGTTCATGTGATCACAGAAAGCTGACATGAAATCTTCATCTATCACAAAGAGTATTGTTCTGCAGAATATGGTTATTCACAGTTTTCTGAGCTTGATTGCTTGTGTTCCCAGGTTGAGAAGATGAGACTTACCAGACAAAATGTCTCAACAATATTGACATTATAAATACAATTTAAACGGTGAAGAGAACTGAATACTTTATATTACAGTTAAAATTGTCAGGCAAATAGGCATTGGTCTAGAAAATAGCGAAAATGTGGTGCAGTTCTGGTGACCGAATGGGGTGTGATTTTTCAAATGATTTAGCTTTGATTTAGGACCAGTTGTCATCATCTGCCTTGCGTGACTACTATGCAAGTCCCCATTTGGGGTGAAATATGTCATTTAAGTTAAAAGTGACATTTAAACCGTTAACTGGAGAGTTTAACGTATTAACTATTGTTTGGAATGAAGTTATTTTTGACACTATGTATGGTATTCAAGGTGCAGTTATATCATTTTATTTTGGTTGGTTGGTTGTTTAACGCCGCACTCAGCAATATCCCAGCTATATGACGGCGGTCTGTAAATAATCGAGTCTGGACCAGACAATCCAGTGATTGATATCATGAGCATCGATCCACGCAATTGGGATCGTTGACATGCATCAACCAAGTCAGCGAGCCTGACCACCCGATCCCGTTAGTCGCCTTTTACGACAAGCATAGTCACCTTTTACGGCAAGCATGGGTTGCTGAAGACCTATTCTACCCCGGAATCTTCACGGGTCTATATCATTTGAAGATCATAGAAAGTTGACATCGTGTGCATGACAGACCATTGGAGGTTAACAAAAGTTCGTGTTTAGTATTTACACCCACAACCCATTTCACAATCAATCCATGGTGGGGTAAGGTGAAATGGAGTTTAACGTCGCGTCCAAGATTATTGCACTTATATAACGACGTGCATGCACGTGTGTGTGTTTGTGTGGCTGTTTGTACTAGTCCGGACTGATGCCGATTTATAGTGCTAGCTCACTGAGATACCATGCCGCAGTTTAACATGAATATCCCACAGTATACTGACTCCGAGCGGACCAGTCCTTGTTTTAGCCCCTTAATGCCGAGCGCCAGACAGGGTAACAACAAGTACCATTTTTTAACGTCTTTTGGTATGAGGCGGTCAGGGATCAAACCCCGGACCTTCCGCTCTCCGGGTGGACGCTCTACCACTAGACCACGGAGACGGTCGTATTCATTAGTGAGAGTAGTTGCTGACGATGAAACAAGATCGACGCCAAATTCCTCAGCATTGTTGAATCAAGAGCATACACTACCTTGGTGTTTGGCTACACATATTGCAAAAACATCGATATTTATCGGCATTCTATATCCGCACTGCCGGTTTATGCGGATCAGGACACTCCCAAGGATCAAATCACTTCCCTTGCGATCATAATGTCCCCTTTTACTTTCTGCATACTGCAGTGGCGAAGGTCAGCGCCATACCATAATTAACTACTTATCCAAACCAATAATGTGTCAATATATAGCGAGAGAGTTTAAACATATCAGGTATACGTCAGGATTTAATTAAAAAATATCCCAACTTGTAAGCTCTTTTGAATGTTTTGAACGCTCCCAACGTTTGTAATGATTAATACAAACTTTAACCTTAAATATATATATATATATATATATATATATATATATATATATATATATATATATATATATATATTCAATATATATAAACTAATGTCCAAAAGAAACGATACCACACATTTTTCTAAATATTTTATTATGAAGAGTTAATTTTCGTCTGAAAAGGTACTTTTGCGTATCCTACGTTCCAAACCAAACGTATTCGGTCGATAAAACCGGGAACATTTGATCAATTGAGAAAAAAGCGTGCAATTTGCCCAAATGACGTTCCGTCCCGTAACACGAAATGCACGTGCATATCTTCTGTATAAAACTGCTGACCCGACACGTTGGGATTACAGCAACAAAAAGCACACAAAAGAAATGCCACGTTTGACAGCGATTGAGAGAGAGAGAGAGCCGTAGGAATGCTCCAACAGGGAGCTACGCACCGCGACGTCGCCAGAAGGTTAGGATGCGCGCGCATAACCGTTTCAGGTTAATGCAGCGGTTGCGTCAAACAGGTCGGACAGCAGACAGGCCGAGAACCGGGAGACCACGGGTGACCACGCCTATTGAACACCGCCACATCCGGGTACTGTACCTTCGGAACCGCTTCGTAACGGCGACGTTAACGGCACGGACGTCACTGGGACACGTGATAAGTCGACAAACCGTGTACAGGAGACTGCGGGCACATGGTATCCGAGCACGTCGCCCTACCGCGTTCCTGACACCTCAACACCGACTCAACAGACGGATATGGGCCAGGCGACTTCGACGGTGGCAACGGTGGAACTGGGCACGTGTCATGTTTTCTGACGAAAGCAGATTTTGCATCTTCAGGAACGACGGCCGGCAGCGTGTGTACCAAAGAGTAGGTGAACGTTTGGCACCGAACTGCATCCATCAAGTCAGGCCATATGAAGGCGGAGGTTTAATGGTTTGGGGTGGAATCTGCGGTGACGTCAAAACGAGACTCGTCGTTATTCGAGGAAACCTGAATGCGCAGCGTTATCGTGATGACATCTTACAACCAGTTGTGGTGCCATTCACCCAACAACAGCCTAATGGTATCATT